TCAGGGTAACCATGCTAGCTCCAAGCAGTTGCCTAGCCTCGCTCCTCTGGTGAGTCACGCTGCCTCAGCTATGGGGCCTGGGTGGCAATTCCCCTTGGCCACTTCTCTCCCTGTTTGTACAGCACCTAGTGCAGTGGGGGCTCCGATCTCCTACATCCATCCCCTTCCGTCTGCTCTGCCCTGGGTAATGCTTGCACCACCTATGTTTGCTTTATACCTGCCCTTTCTTTATCTTTTGGTATCTTCCTTTTGGTTTCTTCTCCTTTGGCCCCCTCATCCTCTTTTCCTCATTTGCTTTGCTCTCCAGGAGCAAAATGTCTTCTCTAGCCAGGCTGGTGGACTTGTGAGTCGTCTGAAGAGCCCCTTCCTAGCAGATGAAGCAAATCTTGGTGCTTTCTGTTTTGTGGGAATGATCATAACGTGCTCCATGAGGAAAGAACAGCATGGGTCCCCATCTATTCTGGAGGGGAGTGAGTGGGATAGCTGAAGAGTAGGGGGTGAGGGCTGTACTTCCTAGATGTCTCTTCCTCTCCTCTCCATTTTTGCCTCCTTGGATGTTACAGGAACAAAGCCGTTGTTGTTTCCCAGCCAAGTACTCCAGACACACTACGACACGATGTTTGACTGTTTGGCCTCGGCACACAACTCTACATATCCTTCCTTGGGAGCCAAACCTCTTTCAGCTATTTTGATATTCCTCCTTGTCCGTTGGCTGTCCTGTCGCTCTGCCCATTTGCAGGGGGAGCCCATGCTGTCCCCCACAGAGCCCTTCACAAGTGCCTGCTGGCTCCCTTGCCTGCTGCCCGGATGCTCTTCCAAGTGTGTGGGATGGGTGAAAAGCCAGCCAAGACAGCTCCCGCCTACAGCATCCCCTCCCTGAGCACCCCGGGGTCATGCTTTGCCTTGGGAACATGTCTCCTGACTCGCTGCCTGGGCCGAGGAGGGCTCTCCTCGGGAGTGCTGGCAGGGCTGCCGTCCTCTCCCTGCAGCCAGGTTCTGCTCATCTGCTGTCCTGACAGGGATGGCTGCTGTTGCAGGGTCAGTGTCGAGAGCCTCTCAACACATGTGCATTGGGATGTCTTGTCATCTTCAGGCCTCTTTAATGGGGTTGTATGGCTCTTGGTTCACCCTGGGGTTTGCTCTAATGCTTGCCAGGGCTGCCAGGCCATAGGGGAGCAGAGCCAGAGCTTGGCACCTGTCCCCTTCCTTTCTTTTCCCTCAAATTGTGGCACCCTGGGCTAATGCACAGGTGAGGAGCCCTGTCCTATGTTCCTGATAGCGCAATTCTGGGGCTTGTAGCTCCCCATTTCTGGTGCAAAAGGGATGGCGTGTGCTGCTTTGGCTGCTTGGTGCTCCGTTTTCTTGGGTGTATCTTTGGCTGCCTATTGATTACAGGCAGAGTAAATAACATTGGGTGGACTGGGATCCAGGGATGAAGGTGATGGGGTAGACCGGATGCACGTGTCAGGCGAACTTGAGCACTAGCTGTCTACGCAGGTCATGTGCCAACTGACATGTCCCTTCTCATCAAGCTGTGGCTCCAAGATGGCCAGGCTAGTGCTTAAGAGGTTGTACTGCTGTGCTGGCATGTGTGGAGGGAGAGGTGTTTGGGATGGCAGATGGGTCACGCTAGCCAAGAAGCAGAAACAAATAGAGATGTCCTCTCTTCCACGTCCTTGTGAGGGTGCCTGGAGCAGAGCTCTGCTGAAGAATTGGTGCTGGACTCTCTAGCCAGCTCAAAGCATCTCTTGCTGGGATGGGGCTGCTTAGCCCATATTGATGCAGTGAGGGCTCTCATCAAAGAGCTCTCTGGATGAGATCTCACCACTGGTTTGTGGAGCATGAGCCTCTTCTGGTGGTTGGCTGAAGCAGATGGCACCCATAAAGGTCTGCCCTCAAAGCAACTGGATGTTGTGGTTACACTGCTGCTGAGCCTGGCTGATATTGCTTGCATCCCAGCGATACTGGAGAAGATGGTTCAGGCTACACTTCTTTACTAACAGAGTGAGGCTCTTTCACTGTTTTTACCCCTTAAACCATGTCTTAGCCTCCAACTGATTTTGCAACTGGCCCTACATAGCCGAGTGATTACATAATTAACGGGAACTGGTGTGGCCCTTTCTCTCTGGACTCCTGCCCTCTTTCCTGCAGCAGTGGACCCCGAGTCGCTCCTTCCTGGCTTGTTTCACCAGTACAGTTTGGCCTGTTGCTGGGAAGAGCTCTGGGAAGCTTTTTGAGCAGGAGCATGCTTCCAGTTTCAGGGCAAAAAGTGCTTTGGGCATCTCTGCTTCTGTGCTGGGGTGCAGCTTATCTGCAGGGATTTGTGCTGGTTCTTCTTTTCTAGCACAATTTAAACTAGAGAAATTATTTGCTGTCTTCTTCCTGTCTCCGCTGCACCACTACCTGTTTCCTGATGGGACCACAAAGCTTCTTTCTGCAAAATACATGAGCAGCTGTGAGGTTGATGCTAACCTGACTCTTGCTGAGGACACAGTATGACTCAGCCTGCATCTGGACTGTGCAGGGAGGAGAGAGGGGATGCAAGTTACCTCTGTTCTGCAGAGAGTGTGGAATTGCTCTGGCATCGCTGTTTCTCTGCGGTCCCTTGGGGCCCAGGCTTTGTGCTTTTGAGTATTGGGTCTAAATGCATCTTGGCCTGCTGAGTTAGGAGTTGTCCCCGAGAGGGTATAGGTTTCCTTTCAGGGAAAGTTTTGCAGGTTGTGGGTTTGGAGGCAGGGCTTTGTTCAGCCTCTCTGCAGGTCCCTGCTGAATGCTGCGAGAAATGCGTTCTTTCCTCCTGTCTACCGTCTTTCTCTGGTGAAGATGAAAACCAGCGAGAAGGGAAGAAAACCCTCCCTGGGAGATGAACGGCCCAGCCACCTTCACAGGCATGAAGACTTCTTGCAGACCAAATTCAGTACAAGGAATCCCTCCCAGCCTGCTGAGTGTTGTGGTGCAGGATCCCTTTCCAGCATTTCACTTTTTTTTTTTTTTTCCCCCCTAAATGATCTTATCACCCTAGACCAGCAAGACAGCTAGTGTCATCTCACCTTCCTCTTGGTCCTAGACCCCTTCACCCAGCAGGGCGCTTTTCTGCCATCCTTTTTGAAGGCCCCCATCACTGAGTGGAGGTCGGCACTGGCCTTGAGGGGCTCACTGGTCTCACGGGGACTAACTTTGTGGAGGATGTGATCTTGAGGGACAAGACAAGGCTGTCCAGTGGGTGCATCAACAGCCGCTTGCTTTGCTCGCCTGCGGCAGGGACCTTGTCCCCCATGCAGGTTGTGGTGCTGTCCCCGCATCCCCTCCCTGGAAGGAGCTCTGCTCCCTGCTGCAGATGCCGCATTCCTCCTGGCCCCTCCTCAGCCTGCTCTGGCTCGTGTGGCATCTCCGGCTGTAGTCAGAGGGCTGTGACTGGGGAGGTGTGATTTCTCTCAGCCCCCAGTTGCTGCTGGCCCATTGCTGTTTGCTGTGCTCCTGCCTGCCAGGGCTCTGCTTTGGATCCTTGGCTGGGTCAGGCTATAGGAGTCGCTGGCAGGTTTGGGCTAATTCCTTCCCAAAAGAAAACCCTGTAGGTGCAGACTTCATTTGAAGTGTGTATGCAATTGGGATGAAGTCAATAGGAGTGTTCACATGCGTAAACCTAATTAGTCCTGTGAGTACTTGCAGCATTGGGACCTGCTCTTTTGCAGCAGCAGAGACTTTCTGAGATTAATTTCTTTCACCTTCTTGCCAGCCCCCAACTTAGAAATGGAAAACAGAAAAAGGAGCAGCCTGCAGTACCAGGCCAGGATTGGTCTCAGGGGCTTTTGTCGTGTCTCATCACTTAGGGGAAGCTCAATAAATACCTGCAGAATAAACAACTGTTCCAAAATGAGGATGTGGGGCAAGGTGAGGTGTATCCTCTTGAGCTGAGTTCTATTGTGCTTCCTCTTCACCGAGATTTCTTGGTGTTTATCACGGGCAGCTGCCCCCTTCCTCCTGTTCAACTGACTGAGCTGCAGGAAATGGCCCTGCAGAAGGTAGGTTGACAAAAGGGGGCTGAGGGCAGAGGGAAGGTGAGTGCTGGAGCAGGATGGTCCCTTAGTGACTCCTCGTGTGTGGGAGGCAGCTGGGTGAGTGTTTCTGTTCACCAAGAGGGAATGGGCAGGCTGTGCCATGGGCAGCCTCGCGTGCAGGCATTAGCCCAGGGTTGCTGATGCAAGTCCAGGCATCTGAGTGGGTGAGCCCTTCCCAAAAAGGAGCATGTGGACTTCTGGATGCAAGGTAGGAGAAGTTGTCTTTCTAAGAGTGCTCCCATGGCAGGGCAGCATGAAGACAAGAGCAAATATGAGGCTGACAGCAGGGCAGCCAGGTGTCTTGTAGCAGGTCACAGTGGTGTCAGTCCCTTGTTGGACGCTCTCGCACTCCTTTCCTCTTCCTAAAGTACTGAGATGTGACAGATGTTTCCCCTGGTGTGGTGGCTGGGGAAACTGAGGTGCAAGAGAGGCCAAGCAACTGAGTGGCTTGGGAGAAGGATGGGGAGCAGCACCAGCTACCTGCTCCCTGGTGTATGAGCTGCTCTTTTAATCCCCGTGAGAACTATTTGCTCTGATAGTTTCCCTGCATGAAGCCCCTTTCCCATTAATCTCATCTCCTCTGCGTGTGTGTGGGACCCTTCTGGATGCGCTAGGACAGAGACCTACGTGAAGACCTCTCTCCAGAGGATGTGACTGCCGTTTTTCCCTAGGAGAGCCTCTCTGGGAATTACCCCGGGCGCTGCCCCTGGGCCGCCGCTTTGTTCCCGTTTACGTGATGGGAGGCGAAGCAAAGGTGGGAGGAAAGCGGGGAGAGGAGGAGGAGGAGGAAGGCGGGGAGCAGAGGCTCCCGAGCGGCGGGGCGGGCCGGGCGGCCGCGAACAAAAGGGGCGGCGGCGGGAGCGGAGCAGCAGCCGGGAAGCGGGAGCGGCGCCGGGAAGCGGGAGCGGCGCCGGGAAGCGGAGCGGAGCAGCGGCGGGCGGCATGAGCGGCGCGGTGCTGCGGCGGCACTGCAGCAAGCGGGGCTTGCAGAACCTCCTGCGGTGGGTCCCGCGCCGGGCCGGGCCGGGCGGTACCGGCGCTGCGGCGGGGCGCGGGGGCAGGCAGCGCATCCTCCTCCTCCCGCCGCGCGGGAGCTGCGCTCCGGCGCCCACCTGAGACAGCGGGGTTGTCCCCCCCGCCCGTATTTTTATTTGATGCGGTAGTAAATTAACGTTGCGCCGTGCGTTTTTAATGCAGAGATCCATAAAGGGCCGGGTCCTGGCGGGGGTGCCGGCTGACGCTGCCCTGTGGATTTAATTGATAGCGGCGCTGCCTCGACCCATCCTGTGCCAGCGCAACCGCCCGGGCAGCACGAGGTGGCGGCTTGGTCGCGCTCCCCTGCATTTGTCCATGGAGGCTTCGCCGGTGGCTGACGCTGGGATTCCCTCCCGTGCAGCCCTCCGGTGGGGCTGGTGGGACGCGGGGCTGTCCTGCGCTCCAGGCCCATTCCGCGCCGTGCATCTCGCTCGGGCTGGGCGGGCAGAAGGGACCGCTTGGCCCCCGAGTTCAGTTCAGGGGCCGAATCGATGAGTGCTGGGTTAATGTCCCGCAGGCTGAGTGCCCCTTGGCTCCCTTGCGCTGCCAGTCTGTCCTCACTGGTGCCCGCCGGCCTCCAGTGGGAGTTGGGAGAGGTCAGACAGGGCACACGGGAGTGTTTTTGGAGCGGGTGATTTCCAGCCAGTTTGGGATTTCCGTGATTGATAACACAGATTCTGAGCCTCACCCCTCCTCCAAAGAGCTTCTGGCCTCGGAAGAGAAATTTAGGAAGAGTAAATACAGCCATCCACCCTGTCCCACCAGGGGAATCATCAGGAAAACTCCCCCGGCCCTGTGGATGGAAGAGGGCCAGGACAGGCTCCTCCTCTGCACCCGTCCTTGGCCAGTCTTGTCCTTCCCCAGTCCCACGCAGGGATGGAGGTCCCGGCTCCCTTTGCAGCAGCAGCCTGGGGCCGCTTGGTGAGGGGCTTGGAGAGGGGCATGTGGGGCTTTTACCAAGGGATATTTGTGCTGAGCAGGGTTTCCTGTTGAGCTTGATCTTGGCTTTTCAGCTGTGCTTCCTAGCTCTGTTTGTGGATGAGGATGGAGGGTGCAAAGACGTGCAAGGGATCACAGAGAAGAACCCCTGTTCCTGCTCTGCTGTAATCCCTCCCAGGGCGGCTGTGGGCAGCGGTTGCACCGTGTAGTGCCCAGGCGCTTTGGGATGTGCCTGAAGCACCAAGGTGAGCAGAGCACGAGAGAAAGCACCGCTGTGCTCAGAGCTGCGGCCCTGGACGCCGGGGGTTTTGGTGAGATGCCGGATCCGCTGGATCTGCGCCGGCTCCCGCACCCCTGCACGTCAGGCAGCGTCGTGCCTGTGCTCCCCTTGGATCCTGCTGTGGCTCTGCAGGGCTTTCCTGGCTCCTGGCACAGGCTGCTCTGCTCCGTGGTCACTGGCGCTCAGGGGGTTGTGCTGGACCGCGCTGCTCCCAGGCTTGCCAGGCCTGTCCGGGCATCCTCGGCCGAGGAAGCTGCTGCTTTTGGGAAGAAACCTTCCCAAATCAGGATGGAAGTCGGGACTGAGTGACCGTGTTTAAACGTGAGATACCTGTACCGGGCAAAAATCCTGACGTTTCCTGTGCATGGAGCAGTCCGTGCCCAGGTGCTGAGCAGGAGCGCTTGGCTGCGAGCCCTTGCTAAGCCTCTGTTCACCCAGATATTGGTCCCAGGAACTTTTGACCCTCTCCCCATGTGCTGGCTGGGAAATGATTCCTTCCTGCCTCTGGCCACAAGCAGCGGGATGCGGCAGCTCAGCCGTCATTCCTGGTGGGATTGTGCTGATCCCTCTGGAAAGCTGGAGCCCGAGGAGGGCCTGTGGCCCTGGCACAGCTCGGAGTGGTGACTCTGCACTGAGGAGGACACACAGGGATGACTCCCTGGGAAAGGGAATCACCTCGCCTGCCTCCCTGCCTCTCCCGAGCGCAACTGGAGTGGCCCTTATCCCACAGAATCTCTATCCGGAGACCCCGACAGAAAGATTTGTCCCGTGTTTAAGAAGTTAATGGTGGAGATTTCTTGCTCCTGCATGGCTTTGTACTTGCAAAGCCCTCTCCAAACACAAGCCATTTCATCCTCTTATCTGGGTCTATTTTTCCTTATCCTCCTAATGAATTCCTATAAATAAGATGGGAATCCAATGCCTGTCATGTCGATTCACTCACTTCATTATCTGCTCCTGCTGGAGTTTTACTCTCCCTCTACTTACAGTGCCTCGAGTGCTCCCACAAAAGAATATTGCTCTTTAATTAACCTACAAATCAGCCTCTTTGTAAGTTGGCGGCATTGACGGCACCGCTCCTTGAAACCGGATTAGGCGGCGTCTCCACGGACGCAGCCGGGAGCCTCGCTCGCTCCGAGCGCGCTCCCCTTGCCGCAGCCGGGCGAAGCGGGCGGGCGGGTTGGAAGAGCTGCTGCTTTCCTGGCAGCCCGTTTGGTCCCCCATGTGTGAGTGAATCTCTGGTTGTGCGTGGGCGCGAGCGGCGCTTGGCCCCGCAGGGAGGGAGGGTTTATTCCATGCGCTGCCGGTGGGATGCTCAGCACGCCGGGCGACCTGGCCCCCGAAGCACAACGGCTGCACGGGCAGCAAGCAAGCGGCCGTGTGCCTTGCAGCGCCATAGTCAGAAGTGCAAAGTCGTCACGCGGGAGCGGGGCTAAATCTGATGATGAAAAAGCCCAAGGCTACAAAATGATCCAGGAAAGGAGATGGTGAGATAAACCTAATTATTCCCTCAGTAGGATGGAACTTTGTTCCCCTTATCATCGGAGGAGTCATTAATCTGGAGAGCCAAAGTATGAGATCTGAAATTGTGCTCGCGTGTTCCTGTTTCTTGGCACCGGCTGTTGCTGGAGGGTGTGGGGACCCAATGGGGTAATTCCTCCTTTCCAGCACTGCCCCGCACCGGCGTGCTCCCCTCCTGTGTCCCCCTGTGGATGCCTTGATTTGTTAGTGGTGTTTTTTTTGGTATCTATCTGTATTTTTTTACTGCTACTTTCTAATCCCTCTTTCTCCAGCAGCAGCAGCACACCCCGATGTGAGCTTGCTGGGTGAGTGGCCGGGAAGGTCGGATGCCGGTGGAGGGCAGAGGGCTGCCCGGGATGCTGGGGATGCCCTTGGGGCTCTTCTTCCTCCCCTGCAAGGAGAGGAGAGTCCTGCCGTTGGGCTGTGCTTGCTCTGCCAGCCCAGCTCCCTCCTGCCAATGTGAATTATGGAACGGGGGGAAACGTGTAGTCCCCAGGAGCGTAAAGTCAATGACTTGCAGCCGAGCTGGGGGCTCTCGCATCTTGGCTCATCGGTGCTATAAAAAGCAGCCTGATGTTAATCTCGCTTTTAATGCCTGGTTTATGCGGGGGTAATGCTGCTCTTCTCCCCTGTGCAATCAGGCTTGCTTCACAGCCCGAGCGCATCGAGGAGGAGGAGGATCTGGCTGCCGGTAGCTGCGGTGGGGAGGCCGTGGGGAGCTGCCTCCCTCTCTGCGAGAGCAAAAATGCAAATATCTTGTGAACCTTTTCTGATGGGTCTATTTTATACCCCCAAATGCCTTTCCCTTCCCCAAATGGTCTCCAAACTTCCCACTGGCCAGAGCGGTTTGGGGTCCTTGAGCCCTGCATCGGAAAGGAGGATGCTGCGCGAGGCGCCGGCTTGGGGCCGCGGCGGCACCGCTTTGCTGCAACCCCGGCCCCGGCCTGGGAGGACTCGAGGTCGCCAGCAGCTCCCCCTCGGCCACAAATTCCACACGAGTGATGTTAGCGTGTTACCAAACCGGCGTATCTGCGCGCAAAGGACCCGCCGGACAGCGGGACCATCCATCATCTGCTCAAAGATTCCTCGGGATTGTCTGCTGGGATTAAAAATAGCAAAACCCCATCGTTCCCATAGGCTGCCCCGTCCGCGCGGGGAGAAGGTTCCTTCCTGCGAGCAGCTCTCAGGCTCGCGAGGGCGGACAGTGTGGGGGAGTCCTGCCAAGGACGGTGCCCCCCACGGCTGGGCCTGCTCCCGGGCCCGCTGCCAGCCGCCTGCTTCCCAGATTTCGGCCGAGGTAGGGGAAGAGCCCGCTCCATCTCATGTGCGCAGGGTTGTCCACCCAGGAGCCGGGAGCGGTGGTGATAAGAGCGTTGCAAAGCAGCCTTCCTCCCAGCCCTGCGCGCGGAGTCTTCCTTGGCAAGTGGCAAGCACGGAGCCTGTAAAAACACCCTTGCAACTGAGGCGGGTTAGGGGCCGTGCAACGGCCGCGCCATTTGCAGATTGTCCCCGTGTGTCACCTAGAGCGGGCGTCCCGCGAGAGGCAGGAGGGGGAGTGTGCCCAGGGACGTGCTCCTCCACATCTGCTCCGTGTTTTCCCTCCCCCGAGACGTGCAGGGGCTTCGCACAGCTGGGGCTTCCGCCTCGTGCCAAAAATACCTGGCACTTGTGGACACGCGGCCGCATATCCGGATCTGGGAAACAGAGCTGGAAGTTGAATATAACAGGCTTTCTTGTGAGATCCTCTTAAGCCTCGGGACCGCGGTGCTCCGGAGCTAGCCTGGATGGAGGGTATCGATTCCTCCTCTGGGCAGAAACAGGATATACTTTAGCCCTGAGAAATCAAGGCTCGCTTAGAAAAACAAGTTGTTTTGTGTTTTAAAGGGAAGCTGGGCTTTGCCCGCGTTGCTGCCTGGGCTTCGCTTCCCTTTCTGCCCGCTGAAGGCTTGCACCGTATCGCGTTCCCCCGAGGCAGCCTGGCACATCCTTATCGCGATGCCTTTCCGCGCCCGGCTCCTTGCTCCGTCAGGAAAGCCGAGACTGAGAGGAGAAAATAGAGCCCAGCTACAGGCGGGGTGGGGAGGCTCGGTATGAGAAAAAGGCTTAGGGTGAAGCGAGTACGTGCTTTCCCCTTCCCCCTACCCTCCTCTTCAAACTGCGTAGCCTCGACTCTAAACCAGGCACCGCAGCTGAGGAATTGCATGAATGCAGGGGAGGGAGAGGCTGTCCAGCATCCCAGGCTGCCTTTGAATGACAAGCTGGTCTCTTGGAGCTGGAATAACCATACCTTCACCCCCGCTGTCAAAGAAAAAACAACTCCGGGCCATCACGTAGTATTTTTTGTTTGCTTTTCCTCCCCCACCTCCTCCTAGGCTACCACTATCCACCCCATCTTCGACAGCAGACAGCTATCGAAGTGTAGTCTTTGCCATCAAGCAAGGTTATTCCCAATTTCAGAAACCTGCCCATTAAGCAGTGTGACTGCAGCTTGCCTTGTGCCCCAGCAATTCTAGCTGGATCTCCAATTCTCTGATTCTTCCTGGCTTCCTGGCCACCTCAGACAAGCCCTTGGCCTTGAACTTTTGAAGGTATCTCGATGCATGGATACAACCTTGCATCTTCAGTGGCTGGCAGCCCTTTCCATTTCACGTTATGAGCATGAGTGTGCATCGTAGCACACCTACCATCCACCTTTGGGCCCTTTATAAAAACTTGAGGAATGTGAAATAAAGACAGGCTGCACAGGACTCCTCCTAAGGCACGTCCACAGGGCATCTTCCCCCTTGAACCTCGTGTGCGAGGGGACAGTGACTAAAGCCAGCGCTCCCGTGGCCCACGATGCCCTGGCGAGCTCAGGAGACAGGAATGCTGAATTTGCTGGCCGAGGGTTAGTGGGCTCTGGTGCAGGTCTGCAAAGGTGAAGGCCTCCGGGAGAGATTTCATTTTCATTTTCCTTTCTGGAATTAACTTTAGTGCTGAAGGTTGGTTTGGGGCCAGCAGAACTTCCTCTGAGCTGAGCCATGCTAAAGAGTCTGCAGCATTTCCCTTAAATACAGCTCATTTGGTGCCAGAAATTCCCTTGCCTGAATATTATAATCTCCCCAAGCGCTGATGAGAAATTGCCTGAAGGAAACGTGACCTTTCCAGCAATCCTGGCTTGTCTGGAGCGGGCATTAGTGGCCACCCGAAACCGCGCTGCCGGAGCGCTGGTGCTTGGATCGTTGTTCTGCAGGAGGAGGCGTTCACAGGGCAAATGGAAAAAAAAGGGGGAAAAAATCCCCTCCTTCCTTGGCTGGGGGTCCAGAGGGAGGTGAAGTCAAGATTTGGATCTCGTGTGGGCAGCTGGCGCAAGTTCAAGCTGAAGCCTGAGCGTCTTGGTACTTGGCACATTGGGAGTCTGCAGCCAAGCTGGAACCTGCTGCCCTGAGCCTGCCTATGGACCTGTGGGATTTGCCTGCTTGCAAAGAGCACCCTGCTGCCAGTGACATTCTGGTCCACACTGAGAATCCCCGGAGCTGTTGGCGGAGACGTAAGGCTGGGGACCCCCCAGCAGGCCTGACCCAGCCGGAGGTGTCCCGGGCTTGGTACCAGCCTGGGAATGCACAGGATGGAGCGGAAGTTACGTGGTCCCAGCTTGTGCTGCCCTCGGCGTGCACGGGGCAATCGCTGCTGGAACTGGGAAGAAAAGATTACGTGATCCCAGTGCGAGGCTCCAAGTTTGATTGCTAGCGTCTAGAAATAACAGGCCAAGGTCCCCCCAGCACCACTCTGCCGAACTGTTTTGAAAGGAAATCATTCCACCTTTTTGCTTTGAAAGGGGATTTAACGGCTGACCTCGCCGTCGCGCAAGCGGCGAGGCTGGTGGCGACGTGGCCGTGGCTGCACCGCAAGGGCCCGCGCGGTCTGCGGGTCAGCAAGCCCCTCTCGCTGGCCTGCAAGCCAGGGCCGTGGCAGGGGGTCGTGTCCCGATCCCTTGTTTGCTTCGCATCGAGAGCAAATGGCTTTGCCATCAGGTCAGCCCAAGAGGAGTACTCGTTTCCCTTCCGTGTGTTGTGCTGATGCTTGAGCCCCAAAGCAGGTTTGGCACGGGAGCTGATGGGGCTCCAGATCTGCTAATATCACTTTTTTTATTATTATTATTCCTGATGTTCGTTGGAGAGGGAAGGGGCTTCCCCGTGCTTGGCGGAGACGCGGCTCTCCGGCCAAGGGAGCGGGCAGGAAAACTTCTCCGCTTTGCGGAAAAGGGCTGCTCTCGGCGAGCGTCGCCCCGGGGCCCTGCGCGCGCCGGCCGCAGGGCCCGCGCGCAAGACGGAGCGACAGAATAGCGAGCCGGTGAGGTCATGGGGAATTAGTCACATCCAAGCGGGGAGCGGGGAGGGCTGCAAAGCCCAGCGGCTTCGGCGGTGGGAAAAGGGCTCAGGCGAGAGCCGCGCCGGGGGTCCCGTGGCAGCGGCGGCCAGGCAGTGCCAGCAAGCGGTGGGGGGATAGGGAGGGTGTCACCCCCCAAACCTGGCTCGCTCCGGCGCGAATGAGGCCCGTCCGCCTTCAAACCGTGGCGATCCGGGAGGGAGAGGGTTAAGAGCCGCCTGGAGCCGGAGACTATCTGGAGTTGTCACCCGAGGGAGGGGGATCATGGCAGAGCTTAATGAATGACTTCATTTATATATTAAAAAAAATAAATAAAGAAAATAGCGCACGCCACAACAGGGTGGCTTCCCGCCAGGACCACAGACAACGGTTTCCATGGGAACGGGTGGGAAAACAATAAATAGGAGCATGGAGCGCGTGCGGAAGGGGAGGGGGTCCCGGCGCCCCGGGGCTCCCTCTCTGCTCGCGGGGAGGCCAAGGTGGGCAGGGACGGCGAGCGGGTGTCTCGTGTGCCGGGGGCTGTGGCTGCGGGGGAACGAGCCCTGACGTTGCTGCAGACCTCGGCGCGGGCGCTGTGCTGGTGGCTACGGAGCTGCCCCGTGGAGGGGCTGGTAGCGGTGGGAGCAGAGCCCGTGCTGTGCGGAGCTGCTGCTCTCGCTGGAGCAGGAACGCTGCGGCGCCTTGTCGCTGCTGCCCGGCTCTGGGAGGCCCTTCTCCCGGCACGGCTTTTATTAGCCAGCACCCAAGGTGCTTGGGCCAGGCCGAGGCAGGGGCTTCTGTGCGAGCAAGAGCCGCTTTGGAGCCCCCAGGCCCATTCCCTCACTCGCTCCAGGAGCAGATGGGCACCGTGATGCCTGGTGGCGCAGGCACGGCTCGCTTCCTTAAGGAGCCGTGCTGAGATCCGCAGAGCGAGGTCTCCTGGGGATGGAGATTCAGGGCGTGGGACTTCTCAGAGCATCACGGGTTCCTCGAGCTTCCTTTCCGCAAGTGCAGCTTTGCTGGAGAAGGGGCTGGGAAAGGGGCTGCTCCGCGAGGGCAGGGGTGGCTTGGGGCCCGCTCCCCACGGTGCTGACCGTGCCCTACTCTCCCGCCCAGGCTGACGGCGCAGTGGAGCGTGGAGGATGAGGAGGAGGCAGCCCGAGAGCGGCGCCGGCGGGAACGGGAGAAGCAGCTGCGGTCCCAGGCCGAGGAGGGCCTGAACGACGCCAGCTCCTGCCCGGAGAGCGGGCTGCCGCCACAGGAAAACCAGTAAGCAGTGCACGAGTGGGCGCCCGGTGAGGTCCCCGCTCGGCGGGGTGCCCTGCGAGGGCAGGAGCTTTTCAGGATGTCTCTGTCTGAGAGCATTGCAGGGATGGTTCAAAACCTCCGCAGCGCTTGAGTAGCAGGGCCGGGGAGGGCAGGTCTCTTCCTCCTGGCCCCTGCCCGGTTTCTGCTGCAGCTGCTGACAGCCCCTGGGCTCGCTCCCTAAGCCTCAGCCACGCTGTTAGTCTTGCCGGGCTTGGGCCTCTCCCTGTAAACACAGGTGTGAACCCCCGTGAACAGGTCTGGCCGTGTCTGCCACACTGCCCTGTACAGCCCGGGGAGCGAGCGAGCAGGATGGGAGCCAGCACGGCTCCCGCACCTCAGAGAAATCCCCCCTATTTTGAGGCATCAGGGCTGCAAAGGGGACCAAGCATCTCCTGACACCCCCTCAGAGTCCGGAAAGGCAAGAAAGACCTAAGTTTACCGTTTATTTTGAATCTTTTAATTTTGAACTAGTCTTTGGGTCCCACATCCTGATATTCTCTGCTGGGGCACTTTAGCATCATGTGTCCCGAGAGCATTTGTGAAGGTGCTTCCTTGGGCAGCCGCTTGCAGCGTGGGCACCGATGAGTGCTCCAGCATCCCAGCAATTTTTGTCTTGGATGAGAGGGGGAAAAAAAAATAGGAAAAAAACCCTCCACACAGGGCCAAGCCACATGTGATGCAGGCAGCTGTGCTGCTCGAGCCGGGAGGGCTGATGCTCCATCCATCTGGCTGCACGCCGGGCCGCATGCTCGCTCCCCACGGAGCGCTTCTGTCAGAGCACGGGACTGCGCCTGGGCAGGCTCCGGGCCGGACAGCGACCGGCTGCACTGGGGAAGCCCTCCCTCCTCTCTGCTTTCCTGCTCGGAGACAGGGAAGAGGGTTTTCCCTTCCCTGGTCCAGTCTTTTCCCTTGAGTTTAAGTGAGGCAAAGCTGAGGCGGTGAGAGTCACAAGCACGGGAAAAGCGGGAATGCAGCTGGAAGCACCTCTGGTCTAAACAAGTGAGAGCGAACCCCAGGCACAGGCGGGGGCATCACTCATCCTGTGCTTGTTGGTTTGCAGCCCCAGGAGGCCAGGCAGGCAGCCAGGGCTCCAGCTTCTGCTGGAGAAACAGAGCTCATCCTGCTTTGCTTCCCTCTCGCAATGACTCTGCTGAGAGAGCCCCTTTTCACAGGGGAAAGTTCCTAAGCACTCAGCAAGTTAAAGGGTTAAAGTGGGGAGGGTTAAAGTGGGATTTGGAAACTGTAGCTGGAAAGAAGATGCAGCAACTGCAGGGAGAGAGGAGAGGAGCAGCGGGGGGTCCTTCTGGACCAGCTCTGCCCCTCTGCGCTGCTCTCCTCCTAATTTTCCCTCTTGATGTGTTTCAGTTATGACTTTAAGCCCTCTGAGCCATCGGAGCTGGAGGAGGATGAGGGCTTCAGTGACTGGTCCCAGAAACTCGAGCAGCGCAAGCAGAGGTGGGTAAGACAACAGCAGAGCCAGGGAAGGGCCATGCCCCACAAAGGGACCAAGCCCAGCAAAGCTGGAGGCCAGAGCCTCAAGTGCCGGAGGGCAGGACGGGCTCCCTCCTGTGATTTGGGACTCCAGGACCATCCCGGGCACTGGGGATGTTTGGGTGCCACGTTGCTTTTGCAGCAGTGGCCTGGAGGCCAGGATTTGGAGGGACAACAACATCACTTTTAAGCCACCTGAATGGCTGCAAGGGCTGAAACAGCCTCTACGATAATCCTGGCAGCCTGGAAAACTGTTCTAAGTTTCCGTTTCCCGGCTTGCCCCAGCATAGCGGGTGTTACGACTCTTTCAGCAGCAGAAAACAGGCAGTAAAGACATCTGCGTGGTGCTTGTTTGCAGGCTCTTCAGTCATAACCTTGAAGCTAAGGGCCAAATCCTGCCTTAAGCACTTCCCTTGGACATGGCGTACCTGCCCTTGACCTCTGTGGCTTGGCTCTCTCTGTAGCTTGATTTTCCAGGGAGCCTTGTCCTGCAATGACATAGCCTCTTCTTTATACACCAGGCTGAAAAACATGTGTAAGATTAATATTTACTGCTGAGCAGATAAATAGAGCTGGGCTCTTGCTTACTTTTTGCAAACACAGTAGTTAAAGCGACCCAAAAGCTTTGCCTTCCCCTTTTGCAAGCCCAAACACCTGAGAACAGTGTGGGCTGCCGGGGTGGGGAGCACCGAGGGCAGGTGAAGCCCATCACAGCGGGTGGTGCCTTAAAGCTGGTGGCTGCAGCTGGGTACCCTTAGGTGGGAGGCTGGTAGGAGAAGCAGCAGTAGAAAGGCCTTGGGGCTCGTGAGCTTGCTCACCTCCTTGTGAGAGCTGAGCCTGTCCTGGCTGTGCCCTAGGGAGCCTGCTCAGCAGCTCTGCCCCTTCTCCTTGCTCATCTGTGCCGCTGGAGGAAGAGCTTAGAGGGCTGCAGGAGGCACAGGTAGGTTGTGCTTCTGGCTTTGACTCTTGGTGTTGAAAGAAGCAATGCTGGAGCCAGGGTGTCCCTGCTCTGGTCTCCTACTTGACAGAGGAGAGAGGGAGCCCTGCTTTGCATGGGATGGATGTGCATGCCCAAGGTCCTTGATGGTGCTGTAGCAGCAGGTCGGTCCTGCGCCCCAGCAGCTGCCTGCTAGCCAGCTCTCCAGCTTTGCTCTCAGAGAACCTACAGCTGCTGCAAACCAGGCAGTTTTCTAAGAAATGTGTGGGAGGAGAAGGCTCTTCTCCATCCAAGCAATGCAAGATGGCAACAACATTGTGGTGTGAATCTGTGAGCCCGCAAGAGCTCTGAAGTGAAGCGTCAGCTGCTGCTGACCCTGAGCCCCGGTGCATGGCTGTGCTGCCTTTGCAGATCCAATGGTTTGAAAACGCCAGCGGATCTCCTCCCTGCAGGCTTTGAGACATGTAGCAGTTTGTAAAAAGCCCTTTGTAACCTTTACCTGTGCTAAGGCTCTTGGTGACCCTGGTGGCTTTAGGCTGCTTTGTTTTTTGCTGGGTTGCCCTGGGCCTCTGTGTGTGCCTGGCACTGGCAGCTGTGTGATGTGGCTGCTCTGATGTCTAGATGGGAGTGGGGAACCCAGGTGGGACTGCAAAAGTGACTCTAAGCGGTGGTTTAAAACTCTCAGGTGCTCTGTGTTTAGAGGAATGGTAAAACTGGGTTTAAAGAGGTCTGAGGGACTTGATACTGTCTGTAACCTCTTATCAACTTATTTTGCTTCTCTTCTCCCATGTCTAGGTCTCCACGACAGTCGTATGAAGAAGAGGACGGTGGTGTGAGGGAAGCTGAAGTCAAGCTGGAGCAGATCCAGCTTCACCAGGAAAGCCTGGAGAACATCCAGGAGGAGAATATGGTTGTGAGGGAGGAGGAGAGGCTGTGCCATGAGGAAGATGATGACCAAGAGCAACAGGAGGAGGAGAGAGCTTTGCAGGAGGTTGGATCAAGAGCAGCTGTCCTGTTCCTCTCCAGAGGGCTGGTGGGAGGGACAGGGCTGGAGGCTGCTGAGAAACTTGGCCCATCTGCCCAGTTTGCACTGATGGGTGCTGGGCCTATGTAAATGTGGTGTTTGGGTGTAACATGGGACCTGTCCCATTCTTACCTATGGGTATTGCTGGGGTGTCACTGTGGGCAACCTCTCGCCCTTCCTAAGTTGATGTCTCCGCTTCTGGTTTATAACAAATAGTGGTTTATTCATGCCCACACAAATACCAAGAGGGAAGAGCTGTTAAGTTCTCCTGTCACTCTGTGAACAGTTCTTTAGGTGTGCTTGAGTCTTAATTTTACTACTTGCTTTTTTTCTCTTCAACTTTTGCTGCACCTTTGAAGTACTTGGGTGCGAGGTGTCTTCAAATCAGTCCCAGCTGAGGTTTTCTGTCTCTGCTCTTTCAGCAAGGTGTAATCTCTAGTAAACGTGAGAGGCAAAAGTGCATCTTGAACTGTGTGTGAATATCGTTGTGTTGTTGAGCCTCAGATATTTTGTTGTAAATGGATTTTTTTGACTTGCTATAGCCTCTATATGCTTTTGCATTTGACTGTGTTTTGCTGGCCTCTGTAGCCCTGTGAAATAAAGGGCAGCTATATTCTCTCCCAATGGCTTTTAGATAGGGCAAATATGATTTTCTCATCTCAGTAGTTCCTACATCAGTTTATTATTTAGTAACTGATGCAAGGACTCTTTTCAATGTCATTCTGGAACCTCAAACCAATTTTTTTTTTTACTTTTAAAATTATTATTATTCTAACCTGCATATGAGTTTCTTTCAGGATGTTTCAACAGATGTGGGCTCAAAGTTTTTCTGCTTGAGCCTTCAGTGTAAGGCAGTAAACCTGGGAGAGAGTGGGAAGGTTATAACCTTTGTTGTTAGAAGCACTTTGACCAGCTCCCTTCCTGGCTCGTTTGTCCTGTTCCTTCAGGAAAAGAAGAGGAGGAGAAACGAAGAGGAGGAAGTGCCGGACAAACGCCAGAAAGCTCCGAGCCCTGCCAGCCTGGAGGACGAGGAGCTGTGCTCTGACCACACTGCTGTGTGCTCCACCAAGGTGTGTGCTCCCAGTCAACGACAGCTATTCCCATAGAGCACATAATTAACACCAAGGGAAGGTGACCGTGTGATAACATAGGTACAAATTCTGCTTCAACTTTTGCTTTAGGCAAGAGCAAACCACTGTCTGCCTTGTTTGTGACATGGAAACTCCTGTTCTCCTACTCTGTCTACCTCAACTGCAAGCTGCTTGAGAGCATGACTGTCTCTGGAGACTCTTGGTCACAGGCAATGTGTACGCAGATAGCTCAAGTTCAGTAAAGACTTTAGGGAACACAGTAATAGTGAAAAAAGATATATGTACCTTAAACTTGTGCATGTGATTAAGTCCATGAGAACTGAGCTTCTCTTACAAGAGAAAAATGGTGAAGCATTAACATTTCTGTTTGTAAAAGTCAGAAATTTTGTTCTGAGCAGACTTGGATTCTCGATCTCTGAAACAGCGAGTCCTTTTCTACTTGCATCCGTCAGAACTGCTGTGGTCAAGTGAAACTTCAGTTTTTGACATCAGCTGAATTGCATCTTCCGTCTCCTATTTCATTTGGTACAAACCCTTAGTTCTGTGCTTGTGCTTTTAAATATAGTAGATGCAGATAAGTGGTTTCTGTAGTGTCTAGCTTGCTGTCTTCTCCTGTAAGCTCCTGGGGAAATGGTGAGGGGTCTGGGCAGCCTGTTAGCCTGCTCTTAGTATTATCCGGGCTCTCTTGCCTTGAGACTTGCGCTCTCTGCTTCTTAGCCAATATTTCCTGGGCAAGCAGAATTGAGAGTGTTTCCTCAAGCAACAGGAAATAAGGAAGAAAGTTTCATCATCTCTAACAATCAGATTGCTGCTCTGTGTGGAGATGCCTATGAAAACTGCATAAAATGAGGGGAGCAAAAGCTTTGGATACAGGCCGTAGGCTAATGTTAGATTTGAAAGAGGGCTGGGATAGGCCACAGTAGGTCTCTGAAAAGAGACCAGTGGGAAAATATTGGTGAATTCTTCCACTGCCTTTTATGTACCGAACCTTTCTGCATTGCAGCCCCAAAAGGCACGTAGCTTCTTGATGGTAGGTTAACTGTTGTTGCTAGGATTAGCCCAGGGAAAGGAGCAGAAATACATTTTTTAAAATTTTAATTTTTTTAATAATGATGATGCTAGAGCTCATGAATAAACAAAGCTGAATGTAAAGCCATTTGGGAAAAATAGGAGTTTGGGTCCTTTCCAGAGAAAGGAGGATCTTTACATTCCAGATAGTAGCATTTTATGTGAATGCTAAGAATTTAAAAAATTGCCACTGAGGAGACATTTTGGCCTCTGATTGCTCAGAAATACTGTTTCCAGCAAAAAGGCAAGAACTTTGCCTAAGGACAGGTAGCTAACACTTCCCATGGTGCAGGCAGTGACGTGCAGTGGGATGGCTCCTTGTTACTTGGCTGCTGATCCTTGGCTCCGTAGGACTTGCTGCTGAAAAATATGCAACCCTTTGACTTGAAAGTGACTGTTGTCCCTGTGTTTCTGGGGCATGAAAGAGCTGTGAGATTTGGCAACATTTCAGCCTTTTTTCAGTGGTTGTGAAGTGTTTGCTTGCCTTCTTGTCAAATACCTCTTGCACAGGACACAGGAGCATCTTGTGCAAAACTCTCTTCCCTGATGGTTTGACTTGAAGAACTGCCTTGCCGGAGGCTCCAAGTGTTAAATTGTTCTGTATTGTGTGGATGAGCTGCCATAACTCAGGCTTGTGCTGTTCTCATGCTTGGCTTCTCTACCACCTTGGCTGATATTGCCTCTAGTGGTTTTTTTTTTTCCCCCCCCCTTTTTTTCACCTACTGTACTGTCTCTTTTGGATATAGCAAGAAAACCAAGTATTTGAGAGAAGATGTGGTCCTGGTTGCTACTTGAGCTGTCAGAGTTGTGTGTTGGTTGAGTTGCTTCTGTGTGCTGGAGTTTTTGAGAGGAATTTGTCCTGCCTACCTCCAGAAACAAAAAGTAAAAGGGATGCTCACCCAACTGTCTGTGGCCTGGATTGACCAAAATATTTCTGCCCAAAACTTGGGTGAGGGAGCCCAAAAGTAAAGTGTCTGGACTGTGGACAGCCAAGGCAATACATATCCATCCAAGGTCCATGGAGTGGTAACATCCTTGTTTGTTTTCTCCTACTTCCAGATCACGGACAGAACAGAGTCACTGAATCGCTCAATAAAGAAAAGGTATCATTAGGGGTGTTGGGGAGCTACGGTGAAGCAGATGCCTTATTTCAAACATAGGATGCCTGAGGGCTCTGCTGGGTGGGGGGGTGGTGATGACAAGACAGCCTGTGGCTCTCAAAATCCTGCCTGAGGCACTGGGGTCCTTCCCACAAGACAGTTGTCTTATCTGTTTTTCTCTCTAGTAACAGCATAAAGAAGAGCCAGCCTCCCCTGCCTGTGTCAAAGATAGATGATAGACTGGAGCAATACACACAGGCCATTGAGGTGGGTGACTGTATTGCACGGACACAACTATGTCTCCACCCTCCAAGGAGGCCTCTTCACAAGGTGTCGTTCTCCTGACATCCTTCTTAGTCCCGTCCTCTGTGAGGTAACAACCAAGTTACCTCTGCTTGGATAGGAAAATGCCTGTCTCCTATCTCTAGAGACTTCTAAGGGTATAAAGGGTATAAAGACTGCTTCTGTGAATGGCCATCTTTGTTTACTCATTTTCACTGACTACTGGGTGAAAATTTGACTACTGGGTGAAACTACTGGGCCATTTGAGTCTCTTTTTGCATCCTCTTATCCCTGAGGACTTCCAATTACAAAGGAAAATATCTGAGGGTGTTTGTACTGTATTTTCCAGACATCCACCAAGGCTCCAAAACCTGCCCGTCAGCCATCCCTTGACATTCCCACCACGAGCATGGTGGTAGCCAGCACAAAAAGCCTCTGGGAGACTGGAGAGGTTGCAGCTCAGTCCTCTGTGAAGTCGTCAGCCTGTAAGGTAAGGCACTTGTATGACCTGCCCTGCCTGTACAGGAGAAAAGGGATGGATCTCTGCATGCCACACAACTTATGCTTGTCCTGTATGAGTGCAATATTAGCCTGTTATATGGCTCATGGACTGTGCTAATCAGCAGTGGACAGCATGGAGCCAGGGCTCTAAAAGCCTTGATCTTAAGGACGTGGTTGCTTTTGTCAGTATCTAACCCATTGTACTTCAGAGCTTAGATTCATCTCTGCCAGTCCTGAATTGTTCCTCAGTGGTACAACTAGAGAAACCTCTGAAGCTGGTTGAGCCTCTGATGTGAAATGGGAATTAAGTCAGCTGGTGGGGAAACAGTGCAGCTTTTATGAAGGGGATGTGACTGAGCACTAAGTTGGATCTGGCATCAGGATGGTAATCTTGTAGACTTGGAAATGGCAAAGGATACTATATATTGCTCTCCTGGTAACTTTTTCTGACCCTTGAGAGCATGGGTAATTCTATAACACATGGCTTGCAAATCTGTGTTTATGTGAGCAAAATTCCTTCCACATAGCAGTGTCTTGATGTTAACAAATTTAAGAAAATAAACATCTCGGATCTCTGATCCGGTCTCCTGTGGAAAAGTGAGAGAGGAGAAAGCCAAAGATATATTGGGAATAGGAAGAAGTTTTCTTAGTCTTGAATTTTTGCTCCAGCTGTCTTAGGTCATACAATGTGACATTATGTATTAAAAGAGGTCACATGCGTGGGCTTGGAAGGGATGTGAACAAATGCATGTTCAGCAGCATTGCCAGTGAAGGTTAATGAGAACAACCTTCTTCTCAGGATATTGTGGCTGGAGACATTGTGAGCAAAAGAAGCCTTTGGGAACAGAAGGGCAATCCCAAACCTGAGACCAATATCAAGGTAAGTTGGTATCTGTGCAAATAATGAGGTACTTCCTCTGGGAAGAAAAGATCTGTATGGATGGGGGTTGCTTGTATCTACCAAAGCATTTGCATATCTACATCATAAGAGAGTTCTTCACAGCAGTTAGTTGCTGTAGCTTCAGTCCTGATAAAAATGGTGGCAAATTACTAACTAGCAGTACTGAAAGGTCTCTTGAATAGTTCATTGCGCATAATGGTTTGGGAACCCTGGTTTTCCAGACTAAAACTGAACAGCAAGTATGAGGGACTCTGCTTTTGCTATGCTGCTTAATCTTTATTTCAAAGAAACACCCTAAATTAAGTGCACCTCAAATGAAGGCAGTGTTAGTGTTTGCAGATGGATGTGAGGTTTTGTGCCTAGTGACATGTTTGTGGAAATGCATGTTAAAATGCTGGAGGCAGCTGCTGCTGTAATTGTCTGGACTTGCCAAGAGATCAAATTGATGTCTATTATCTGCAGGCATTTCTTGATAGTACTGCTGGTGCTATGCGGAAAATCAAACCAGTATTTGCTGTGGGTGAAAGCAGCCCTGCAAGAACACTGTCCTTGGGAACTAATAACTGTCCTATATAAAATCAAGTCAGAATCTCTCCTTAACTCTGTGTATTTGATTCTGAATGCCTATTTGAGAAGGAAGAATCCTGACTGGCTGTTTCTTTCTGTCCTGTCCAGTCCACTCCTGGGAAAAAGTATAAATTTGTTGCAACAGGCCACGGCCAGTACAAGAAAGTGCTGATAGATGATGCAACAGAGCAATAACGTGCCTGGAGAACCCGTTAACCAGGTGAGTGAGTTGTGACCTTGTGCAATGTAATAAGCTCCTGGTAGTGTTCTGGTGAGATGTTTGGGTTGCTTCTGCCAAGTGAACTTGGATGAGTTGCAAGGTGCCATGTGATAACAGCTGGAGCCCAGTACACAAGCAAATAACTGGCTTCCTGAGCTGCAAGGAAGTGGGTACCCAGGGACCCATTCTCTGATATTATTAGGATGCTGGATACCTGTGTTTAATTTGTCGAATACCTTTGCTAATGATGTCTGGTTGAAGATGGGTTTCCCTTTGCTTGTTTTAAGGAACTAGTCTCTAATATTTGTTCTTGTGATCTCCTGCCTTGCAAAGGAAAGTACTAGCTGGAGGCCATTCCTGCTGAGCATAGAGGCTGTTCTAATCCTGAGATTTGAGTGTTTCCAGGATCTAATTCAATGATTTACTGAATTAATTAGGGGAAAAATCTTGGAGTAATTTTAGTGCCTCTTGGAACTGGCCTGCAGTAGGGTTGTAGCAGGGGGGAAATGAACCTCTCTGCTGGGTGGCCCAACAGAGCAGGAAGGACTATGTGCTGGTGCATAGCTACAGGGGAGGAAAAGTTGGGGTGATGTCTCTGGGCCCTCTTAAAATGGTCTCTGAATCATGTGCTTATTGTGCTTGTGTTAGTGGCTATCCTGGTGTGATCTTGAGTGAACGAGGGTTGTGCCGGAAAGAAGGAATTGGCATAGAGGGATGTGATAACTTGTCGGATCCAACCGGGAAGCCTCTGGCACTGAGAGGAAAGGATGTTGGGTGGAGAGGCAAACAAGCTTTTTATTTTTCTTTTTTCTTTTTCTACAATAATAAAAACTTTATTTTATAGCCAAACTTATAAATAGCACTTTTTGCTACAAAGCACCTTCTTTGTTTCTGAATCACTCTAGGACTATTTCTTATTTTTTTTCAAATGAACTGGCTTAGCAATGCAGCTTTTTTTATTTTATTTTTGTACGCTCCTTCAGGAAAGAAGCTCTTGAAGGCTGTTTTGAGATGGGCAACAGTACAAACCCAAGTCTGTGTATAATTACATTTGTAGATATAATGACGAAAGGAGCCTGAAGGACTGTATCCTCAGCTTGATCTGTCTGCTGCTTCCAGAAACCATTTCGAAAGTCTTCTCTCACCAGCCCCCTTCTTCCTTCTGAAATCTGTTCTGATGCACTCAGTGGGATCCTGTTGACCTCTAATTCTAACAGCCAAGTGTCTTAGCAGGTTTTGGTTGTCCTACCTGAGCTTCTGGAAGCAGCTGTTGGCTCTGGTCTTTCTTGAGAGGCTAGAGGCTGCAACAGGGCATCCTCTAAGATCTGCTCAGTGCTCTAAGTAGCCACTGCACAGCCCTGATGCCCTATGGATTTGTTTACAAGAAATTATTTCTTTGGCTGAAGATAGCCAAAAGGGCTGGGATAGTGTGAGGACTTGGGCGTGTTTCTATTCTTGGGTTGTTAGTTGGCTGCTTTATATGCTGAGAGGTCTCTGTGCACCAGACTCTTTCTCTACCCCTGCCTATTGTCCTGCTAACTCTGCTCATCCTTTCCCTGCCTGTTGCTGGGTCCTTCTCTCCTTGCCTTTCTGTTCCTGAACACATGTGTTCTACACACCCTCTGAGCAGGCTGGGAAGCCAAGAGATTTGTTTCCTAAGTGGCAGTTCAGGCTGTTACTGATGGTCTGAGGTTGTCTGCCTCTGAATAACAACCTAGATGTGTGCTCAGAGGTGTTCTCCTTCACTTGTTCGGCCTGCTTGGCACAGACTATGACATGCAAAGAGCTCCTAATAGAAAGTCCATGGCAGAGACCTCCTGTTGCTTTGGTCTGTTTGCTTGCCATGTTCTTGTTCCTGGGTCTGTCTCTGTGGTACTCGCTGGACCTGCCTTGTTTCCCTGCTTGTCCCTCTTGGCTAAACCATGTGGTCACATCTGCCTTCCTTTAGTTCCTGTGGTAGGCATTGTTGGGGCCACGAGTGGTCCTCTTGGCCTGTGCCCAGCAGGTACCCATGGACCTTTCCTCATCGACATGTGTGCAACTTGCTGGTTTGTTCTGGGTCGTTGTTGCTGTGTGGCGAAATGAGTTAAAACACCTTCAAAAAACATCCTCTCTCCAAATTCATGCTCAGCTGTAATCAGCATCAGTTGTTTGACTTGATGCTAGTAGCCCAGCTCTTGAGGGCTGGGTTCTGAGTATGTATGTCCACCCATCTGCTCTAGGCTCTAGCGTGTCTGCTATTGCTGGGCAACTGGTGCATCTCTCAAGTTTCTGGTGCTTTGTTTTGCTTATTCTTTTTCTCAAGCATAGGGGAGTTTCCTGCATGCTAGGAGGCAAAAGGGCTGCCAGCTGAGCAAATCTTGCTCGGGGAGTGAACTCTTGGCCACTCCTGAAGAAGGTCATAAACAGCAGATGACTTCAAGCTGCAACAAACAGAGGTTAAAAATGGGGATGGCATTTCAAACTCTTTAAATGGAAAGTCAGAGGAGATCACCTCTGAGCTAGTCCCATCCTGCAAGAGAGGCCACTGCCAAAACTCCCATATGGCAGGTGCAATTACCTGTGAAGTTTTAGGCTGGTGTAGCCCTTCCTTGCAGGGAGAGGAGCAAACTCGTACACAGTAAGGCTGGCAGCATATTAACTTATCCTGTGAAGGCTGACCCAGCAGTTGCTCCTGACTGCTGATCTGTTTCCAACCTCCCAAATGCTCCTCCTTGTCAAACACTGCTTTTATACTGGTTCAAAGACCCTGACAGAGTCAAATGATGTCCATTTTCATCAGGATTCTGCAGAGTATTGGATTCAGTTTTGCTCCCTCTGAATAGCTATGATGAAGCAAAATGTTAGAAAACTGGTAAAGCAGAGTGGTCAGGAACAGCCTTAAGCATACAGTCTTCTCTGTGGTAATGCCCTTTCCTGTTTATCCTTTAGGATTTAATCTGTACTGATGTAGTTAGGCTTCATTTGGGGCTGTTTGAAGGGTTTCTATTTCACCATATGACTATTCCCAGCTTTCCCTTGAAAAACTAAAGGTTGGAGGAGAAGAGGGGAGGAGGACTTGGGCTTATTTTGCCCCTTTTCCTTTCTGGAATAGGAAAGTGGGAGAAAGAAAACAGAAAAAAGGAGACTGTCGCTAAAGGGGAAACATTAACAAAGGTTGGACTGTAGTAGAGTTGTTCTTTATAGCACCATTATGAAGCTGGAAGAACATTCAAAAAGGTAGAAGTGGTCTCTTCCCCTGTGCCTCTTCTAAGTTGGCTTGGGGAGATTCCAGCCGCCTCCATATCTTCTGCATAGGAAGAAAATGTAAAGATCTGTGTATCAGATGTCCTATTGAGGCCCTACATAGCTACTACAGGATTGGCATGTTTAAGCATCCCCCCACATAACAAATTCCTTTGAGAAACAAGAATAGCTGCTCACCAGTATTTTTGTTCCCAAAGCCTGGTGGCTCTGGAGCGAGCATCAAAAATGGACTGGCCTGTCACAAAGGACTTGCTAGAAAGAACTGAGGATTGTGCATGCCTTGGCCATTCTGATTTCAGAAAGAAAAACGTGTCCTGTCCTTAGCCTCGTAGGTCCACTATGCACTAAAATAGAGCAGGCTGATATAGAATGACTTTAAATAGTGTAATGCCCAATTTTCTAGGTAGGGAAGTGTTATGTGAGAGCCAGGAGGATTAGATCCTGTGTTGTCCTTTGGCTGTTTCTTGCATGAACAGACACTCCATCTCTCAGCAGCTGGCTGCAGGGTGTCTCTTGCTTGCCCTTTGAGCAGTGAAGCTAATGGGGATGATGTGTGGGCTTTCTGAGAGTTCAGTTTGATCCTCTCTAGATGAGTAGAAGATGGAGCAATGCAGATTCCTTCACACTCTTTCTCTATAGGGCCTTTTGTTTCTGGGACCTCTACTGCTCTTAAACACAAAATAAATTTGCATTCCATTACTTTCCTCTAAACTGTGCTTTTGTTTGTTTCTTTGTTTTTCTCTACAGGCAATTTGTCCTCTTTTCTTTCTGTCCCACATTTTGTGCAATGTTTGTAGTGGACTCTCTTAAAACAAAATGTGTATGTGTGCCTATCTTTCCTGGCTCCTGACCTGTGGGTGTGGTATGTTATGCATTTAAGTTCATATATATACAGAGTAACCCTTAAACCCTCAGTGCAAGGCTGCTGGCTCAGAGGGGGTTTATTTTATTCATTTTTTTCCTTATACTTGGCTCCATCTGGCAGATAAGGTAGTCATGGGTCTTCTTGCTTGGCGTCCAGTAGGAACCTCCTGAGATGTGGGCCTGGTGGGGCGGCTTGGCTTCAGTTGATTGACCATCCTGATGCCATTCGGTTAAAGCTCCTGGTGTGCTCCTCGGTCACTCTCGGTCCATACCGGCCTACCTCAAACATGGTGATGATCTTCGTCATGGGTTTGGCAGCCAGCTCCTTCAGCTTGCGGGCGTCAAAGCGTGGCTTATGTAGAAGGATGGGTAAGCGGCGAGGGAAAGAGAAACCTTCTTCCTTCCGCGCTCTTTTTTCTTCTGCTTGCTGCTTCTTCCTGACCGTCATCTGGTATAAAACGGCATCCCACATCCTGGTGGCCCTTGATCTAACCAGCGGGCTGTCTTGACTGGTGGTTGTTTGAGAGATGTCTTTCCTGTGGCTTGTGTCCTCCTGCCCTTGCTTGCCTGGCTCTGGCTCTGGGAAGCTGGGTGCCTCTGGCTGTACCATTAAGTGCTTCCTGAGGCGATACCAACCACTAACGCTGGCTCTGTGAGGTTGTGTGTCTTCTGTTGACAGTGGTGTTGGCTCAGCTTTGAGGGATGGACTGGTGTTTGTGCTGGGGGTCAGCTGAGGGGGGATGGCATGTTCTCCATTTGTTTCTGTGGGGGTAGCCCCTGTAGTGTGGACTTGTGTTGGGGTGGCTGCCTCTATAGGTACTTGGCTCCAAGTAGCACTGGATGATGGGGTGTCACTGTGCTGCTTTGGTGACTCGGATGCGCTCTCTGATCCAGACATTTTGGTGCTGCTTTCAAGGGTTGTTGTCTTACTGGAGAGGGCATCAGAGGTGCTGGACTTGGGGTGAGGGCCTTTGACAGACTCTTCACGTGGTGCAGGCCTGGGAGCTTGACTAGGAGGTTCTGCCTTTGCAGGAGGCTCCAGGGCGGCAGGGGAAGCCATGGTCTTGCTGTCACCGAGTGGGGCAGGTGTCTCTCCTGGTGGAGAAGGTTCAGAGTGACTTGTTTCTGGTGCAGGAGAAGGTTTCCTGTCTTCATTGCTGCAGGCTGCTTGGGTCTGGTTTGATGTGGATGCCTTAGCCTTAGGTGCCTTGACACTGTGGAAGTAAGTGTGTGCCTTGGTCACATAGGTAACCTCTGGTGCCCTTTCTGTACTGGCTGTGGTGGAAGAAGGAAGCTGGGGGAAAATGAATATAGACGAGTCCCGTGGAGAGGGAGCCTGGGCGCCAGTGCCTTCAGGTTGCTGCAGGGTCTCAGCTGGCTTTTGCTCTGCCGAGGTGGTGAGCCTGAGGTGCTCAGCAATGCGCCTTTGCTCGGTGACAGTCAGCGTGAAAGGCTTGCTCCTCCGCAGAGGGGAGGGATTGCGGTGGGTGACGGGCTGGATGGGGAAGCGGTATGGGAGGCTCGTGGAAGGACCTGTTGATGTCTTGGGGGTCTGTGCCACGGCAGCACTGCTGTTGCGCTCCAGATCAGAGCCGGCCTCGTTCACGGGGGAGAGGCTGGACCGAAAGGCCTTGGCTTGCTCCGAAGCTAGCACGGCGTTCTTCTTGGCTGCTTTCTTCAGGAGTTTCTGGAGTCGCAGGTTGTCCTTCCCTGGCTTTGGTAGGGTGGGAGGGGGAGACATCTGGGGGCGAACGGGCACAGGTTGCCCAGAGGATGGTGCAGTTATCAGCATTGTCATCTCCTGAAATAAAACAGAATGCTTCAGATTGATATGGGCTTGGTCCTGCACCTGCCTCTTAGAGTACTAGACCTTGTGATGACTTTTAAGTATTCTTATATGAAGCCTTCTCTTCTCCTCTCTCTCTCTCTGCTAGAAGCTCTAAGTATGGAGTTAGTGCAAGAAGAGCATCAAACATGGTTTTCTTGTCCTTGCTCATCAGCCTCTGCTAGTCTTACAGGTGATGGGGCAGGACTAGAAACGCCCTTGGAGAAGTTTGTATGCCACACCTGGAGTCCTGCTCCTGGCCCTAGCAAGAAATACACTTAGCTCCTTGGGACCCCAGACATCCATGTCTTGGCAAATTCTAACAGGGTTTGGAACAAAACGTCAGGAGAAACAGAGCGGATCTGAAATTTTGAAGCTTTGAAACATTCTCCAGAGGCATAAATCAGGGATGTTTCCTGGCTTTCCAAATTCTAGTTATTAATGCTCTGATAAAATGTTATATACAACAGAACAGCCATAAACTCATATGTCACTTGAGTCAAAGTCAATACCAGCCTTGATTGATTTCAGCTGGCAGAAAGACATCCCTGTGAAATGCAGTACTTGAGAGCTGCATTTATCTGGTGAGAAAGTGCTCTGTCACAACACTGACTAGCTCTCACTGTGTTTCCTTGCTGCATACAGCACTACAGCAACCTCCTCCTGCACTTACCAGCCCTTAAGATAAAACCTAGTTTCCTGTTTCCCTTGGAGAGCATTGCCAGTGTCCTCCCTGTAAGACCCTGTCTTCAGTGGAACAGAAACAGGCTGCAGATCTTGTATCTGCTTGGGGTTCTTCTGCTGATGATGTGCTTCTTCTGAAAGGATGTGTGAGTACTTTCAGCTCTGTGTTGCAAGAACTGTGTTAAGCTTTGGGGATTCCCAGCCTTGCTGAGGAGGAAAGATGGGAGAACTCAGTCATTCCTACCCTTAACGAGCTCTTCTCATGAACAGAGCATGTGGTGGCTAAGGTCTGGATAGTACCTGGTAATGATACACTGAAACCGACTGATTTCTCTATTTCAACTATAAATAAGAGAAACATTCCAGCATTTTGATGAGAGTCTGCAGACTGCCTGTATTACAAGATGAGCTGTGGTCTAGCTGTGCAGGTGGGCCATTCCAGCTTGTTGTGCTGGGAATGTGAAAGAGGCAGGGGAATGCACTTCCCAACTACTGATCAATACTTTGAATGCTTTCCTTTCCCTACAAATTGTGGCACCCTGAAAATGCAGCTTCCTGGGTGGGCTGGAGCAGGATCTTGTTTAGAAATTGCTGCTGCATCAGATGCCTTTGAGGAGGGTAGAGGATCTGACCATGAGAAGCTTGGAATATAATCCAGACGCACCAGGAAAACTCTTTCTCTATTCCCAAAATGAAAGGTTGGCTTATGACTTGAAGATCTATGGTCTCTCCCAGCAGTACGTGCTCTTAAAGTAAGCCTTGGTACTATGTAAGCACCCCACGTGGCTTGCAACCTGCCGTTCTGTGGGTCTTGAAAACAAGCAAGCAAAACTGCAATAGGAGCCGAGTTGCACAGCATGTGACTTGGGTGCTGGAGCCTGTGCATTTGAGGGACAGCTGTGGTGGATGAAACATCTAGGCTTTGCAAAAGGAAGCCACCCTTAATTTATTTGTGTTTCCTTGTCATCTTCGGTTTTGTTTAAGTCTCCACAGGTGTTCTGTTTGGGATTGTTTCTGAAGCAAGTGTGACTTTGCAGGTGATGCTGTCTTTGCTGCATAATGAAGCAAAGGCAATGGGAAAGGCAGAAACGTCACTGCTGGCAGGAAGGCCAGGGCTGAAAACCTGGCATGAAAGAAAAAACATACTGAAAAGCTATTTTTTTCTTGGTTTGTGATAAATTGGAAGAAAATGGAGGTGGTAGCTGAATTAAAAGGCTTTAAAGGGTTAAGTTTCCCTCCTGCTGTTTATGTGCCTGTGGGTGCAAGGAAGTCACCCGCTCTTGGATCCCAACTGTTCTGCCAGACTCTTCTTGAATTGCAATTGGCTCCAAATTGAGAATGGCAGGGAGAGCATCAGCATGGCAGAGTCATTTATTATCCAATGGAAAAGCAATTTGTGTGCCGGAGCCCCTCCGCGGTACCAGCTGTTCTGCAGAGAGGAGATCAAGAGCTGCAGGAACCCGATACTGCCACAGATGGTCCCAAACAGAGAGCTGTGTTTGCTGGGGCTGGAGGAGCGTGCTCGATGCTTTAGTGACTCCCAGGCATGGAAGGAAGCTTGCAGATTCTCTCCATGGGATGAGGAGGCTGAGCTGGAGCACATCCTGCCTCCCTGGGCAGCTGTGACCTCTGCTGGAGAAGAGCTGGAGGCTGCTTGGGTGCTGAGCTGGCATGAGCACTGTGGGGTGCTGAGAGCAGGGTTTTCAAGGAGCCACCACCTCTTTGCACGCTTGGCTCCTGCTCTGTTATGGGCATATTGCCCATCTTGGCTGCTCACCATTGTAGAGATGTCATGGGCAGTGGTGAGAAGGGATTCACACAGTTCTTGTGACAATGGATTGGAGAAAATCTCTTTAATTGCTAGGGCACGATGTAGAATCGCTATGGCACAGATATTGCTCATGGCAAAGCAAACAGTATGTAGTAATCTTGTCTTTTTCTTGTCTTACAGCTGAGCTTGGTCCTGGCTCGATGCAACCCTCAATGCCAATGTTTCCTCTGCTCCAAGGAAGACACTTAAAGGATGTTTTTCTTCTCTTGCCTGAAGTCAGTCTGGTTCAGTACAGCTCAACTGTCCTCTCTGGGTGTGAGTGACACCTGCACTGCCTCCAGTCAGGTGAAAGAAGAAATCAGCTGGTGGAAATGATCCCCATTTTAACCTTCTAAGTGACTCTAGCCATTTTTTTCTTTTAATCTGCCTCTGCTATGGAGGTGGGAGGCTGTGGCTCTGCTCCCTCTCTTCTTTATCAAGTGCTTGAAGAGAAGAAGCTACTGGCCTGCCCAGCTGGCAGGTATTTTGCTACAGAATGAAGAATTTCTAATCTTGTGATTCTTGATGGCTCAGTGGTGGGAGAGAGAAAGCTGAATAGTTGCCAAGTAGCCTGTTTGAGGAGAGGGCAATGGGCAGATCCTGAACATCAGGAGCCTGTGAGCATCTGTTGTCACCACCACCACTCCTGCCAGCTGTGGTTTGTTTCCTCCTGTTTACAGCATAGTCTTTCCTTTGGCAACATCTATGCTAAGGGATGTCATCTACTGGTCTCTCTGCTTCTACATTAAGGCCAAATTGTGTTTAACCAAGCCCTGTTTTCTTCAGTCTTCAGATCACCATTTTAATCACAGTTGAGTACCCATGCCAAAAGTATTCCTGCCACTTGTTCACCTCAAGTGTGACCGTAGATGCTGAGCTTCAGATAGCTGGTGCCTTCCTTTCCCTGCTAAATAGGGATGCAGGGCTGTGGCTTCCTCCAGGTGTGGAGTGTCCATTACTGGCATCTTCTCCCTTCCCTGGGAAGGGATTGGCTTTTCCTCTGACCTGGGCTCTACTGTAAGGAACTAAAACACTTATTTCTGCATGTCAAAGGCAGGTGTGCTGATAACCTGCAAATCAAGCTCCTGGAGAAGGACTGGATATCTGGGAAATTCCCTTATACTGGAACCTTTTCACTTGGACAGCTATTTTAGTGCCTCCCAGGGGCTGGTCAGGGCTTGCTGTGATGGGGAGGAAACCACCCATGGGGAAGGACATGCTGATTTCCAGGCTTTCTAGGCCCAGTTCTGTAAAACAGCTCCTGGGGCTCTTCCTGATCTCTCAAGTCTTTACACTTCATGTTGTTAGCACATTCCTGATCTCCTGCTTAAAATCTGTTCATGTCCTCTTCCCGTGAAGGCTGTCAACATAAATTTGCAGCTTGCTCCTCCTGCTAGGAGGGCAGCTTCTCTCTCTCCCTGCATCGGTTTGCTTTTTTGCTTAAACTTACTGTGTGTCCTGGATACATTTTTTTGTAAGCATTTAATAAAATTTGAGGAAGATGTTGTAACAAGGACAACTCTGAGGATTTTGTTAATGTAGAAATTCCTACAGCAAGGCTGGTTTTCCAGACCTTGAAACTGTCTTCGAGTCAAAAGCTGCAGAAGAAACTCAGGCTGAACGACAGGAGGAAAAGGAGCTTGATGTATGTTGATGGGGACACTCCTCTGTTGGGGAGGATTCCTAGCTACTTGCTGCTTTTCCCATTGTTACTGGTGGAAAAATCCAATAAGATGGGAAATATCAGGGCTTAGGCAAGATTTAGAATGGTGTGCAGAAGGCTCTACCTAAAAAGTGATCAGATAAAAGAAGCAGGAGAACCAAAATCATTGGAACTGTCAGCTATAAAACTTCTTTATAGTCTGCTTTTACACCTGAGATGAGGTCAATAGAGGTGTCTCCACAGGAACCAAAACTCTAATGAACTAACCAGCATATTTGGAACCCCAGAAAACCTGCCTGACCTTTTAGGAAGATGATCTTTTATGTAACAGCTCTTTTTTTGTGTGGAGATGGCATCTAGGTTGGGCTGTTCCTAACATGCATTTTTCAAGAGGGTTAGAAAGCAGAAAGCTGCTGATTCTCCCTAGCAGCTCTCAGCTATCACCTTTAATCTTTGTAAATGACAAAGATCTATTGCTGTTGTCTTTTTGCTTATTTGACACCCTCACCCTCTCTACCTTCTGCTTTAGCTCTTGAAATGAGGAATTCAATGAATTTGCACTTTACAGAGAGCAGTGAGGAGTGTGGCAACATCTTGCCTTTCTCTTCCAAGCTGGGGCTTTGAATTGAGGCCAGAGTGGTAGCAATGTGAGGTAGAAAGTGTCCTGGCTGAAGGAGAAGCAGCTCCTTGGAACCATATGTGGTGCTGGTGTACCCACTGCTTGGGGCCTCCCTATTAATTTCTCTTCTGTCCTGCAGCTGGCTGGCAGGAATAATGGCCAGAAACAACTTCTGTTATTGTTGCTGTGTCCTGCCAGTCTGGCTAGTGTGGCAAAGCACTAGAAGGCTGCTTGTGTAAAAGTTGTGCTCTAAGCAGAGTTAATTTACAGGGTGTATTTACCTCATGTAATGTCTATGTGGAGCTAGATGTGGTTTCAACAGAAACAACTGCAGTAATCCAGGTTCTGGCCACAGGAAAGAAGTGAGCAGATTGCAAGGAAGTGCTCTGGAAAAGCCAGAGCTCTCCAGCAGTGGTGGGAAACCAGAGGCAAAGTGGCTTGAAGCAGCTGTGTGTAGATTTTTATGAGGTACCTGGATCTGCTAGAGGAAACTTTTCTGCAATTAAATTAACTTTACAATGTGCTATTTCTCCTCCCGAAGTAATGTGGTAAGTGCATGCAGCTGGTGGCAGTGTGGTAGGGAGAGAACTGCGATGGTGAAGAACCCCCAAAGAAGGGCCTGCATGTTGCACGTCTTGGATGGTCATTTTGGCAGTAAAGGGGAGGGAGGTTCCTGTTCCTCCTCGATGGTAAGTGCAGAGCATTGCAGCAGGTTGCATTGCTTGGTGAGTCACCTTCTTGTGCTGGTGAAGCACAGGCTATGCCTCTCCCTGGTGTTTGCTGGCCTGCTTATGCTTTAGCTGCCTAGCATTCTTCTTTTGTTTGTTGTGCATGTGCTTTTTTTTTTGTTTAAGTCTTTGTTTTTCAGTATTATGTGATTTCACAAGTGTTTCTCACAGCACTGGTATCTGTGTTGCTCTCCTGCTGAGACCTTGGCTCCATCTCCCTCTGCTGCATTTCAGGTGTAAGAAGGGCAAGCTGAGGTACTAGGAGAGCCTTGCTCATGGGGGTGTAGTTACCCCAAAGCCTGGTTGGAAGAGTATCATTTCTGTGAATAAAAACTAGGATGGCTTTTTGAGTGAGATATTTCTTCCCCCTGGTTTCTTCCTTCCCTGTTTGCTGACAGGGAATGTCCTTTCGTATGGCATCCACTCCTAAACGAAGACCTGCGTGCTATAATCATAATTAAATTGTGACTACTCGTATTTCTGTAGCAGGCCTTAGGACTGCTTTAGTAGTAGTATTATTTTGCCAAAAGCTTTAATGGATGATTCTACAAGAACTTCTGAGAGATGGAATTGAAAAATGCAGCAGAAGGAACATTAACAGGCTAAAAAGAACATTACTTAAAACTGGAGAAAACTTGGGTCAAAAAGCATGGTTTTAGTAGTTTTTTTTTCTTTTTCTTTATAGCACTTGTTTTACCTCAAGGCTGGAGGGCTAGACTTCATCTGGTTCTGTTTCCACATATAAAATAACTGTCGGTCCCTTTTGGTCTCTCCCTGCGTGTATGGGCAGGGAGCACCAGGGTCTAAAGTTTCCACAGGGCTCTTCCTTGCAGTGCAGCCCTTGCTTGCAGCAGGGAAAGGTCAGGCTCTGCAACACCTGGGCCTGGATGTCAGCTCTGCCTCTCCTCCACCACCTCCGTGGAGAAGGAAAATAAGCAAGTGCCAGGAAGGAGATGCCTATAAATAATGAGGCGGCAGCTGCTGAGCACCCCTCTGGGTTGGTATATTGAGTTCTCTCGCCAGTTTAACACGTTTTTCCTAACACTGCGTTGTTTTTCCTTTCTTTATATAACAGATGAAGACTGGATCTCAGAGTGACAAAATATGTAATGAAAGTTAGCACTTCCTTAAGGAAGGAGGGATTCTCTGAGGACCCTGACAGTGATGCAAGACAGACTATAAGCTATTTCTGTGTGTTTTTTTTTTTAATTTTTATTTTGTTAAGATCCATGACAGGGTTGTGTGTAATAGAACAACTTAATTTAATTATAAATTTCAGAAAAGCACTTAATCTCTTCATAATAAATCTACATGATAGTGGTTTACCAAAGCTAAAGACATGCACTCTTTTTTCCACTTAAAAAAAAGTGTATGTATTTATATATACATGCCTAAAATATACAATGAAGGCCCTTGTTGCTTTATGCTGGGTGTTTGAACAGTTACAAATAATGCCAGAGTGCACAGCAACATTCATTTCAAATCCCCCAAATCCAATAGATCTTTTAGAAAGCTTGTAAAAGCTGGAGTCTATTATGACTATCACTTGCCCAGCTATTCCCTGGAGTTTCATCCTGCAGACAAACCCCAGCAGTGCTATTAATCACTGATAGCTCCAGTGTCTGCTGCTTGTCAGGTTTTGCAGCCTAGGGTGGCTTTATTGGAGGGAAAAGAAGCCCAGACGGTGGGTATGTCTAGAACTGTCCCATCTCTTCCTTCATCTTCAGAAAGACCTAGGTCTAGTAAGTCCAGCTCCTGGATAGCCTATTTGAATCCCACAGGTAACAAACTCTGTCGCACTGGCTTGTGCATCTTGGTGCCACTCTGAGCTGCTTTGACTTCTGCTTCTCACCTCTGGCTTTTTCTCTTGTGAGTTCCCAGGTTGGACTGAACAGCCCGCTCTGATTCTGCTAAACGGACTGACCCCTTTCAGCTTGTGTTGAAAGGGATGTACCCTAGACCAGGAGTTGTTCTCGGGGCTACTCTCTGTCCTCTGTAACTTGCAGCATCTTTCAGTTCAGTGTCCTCGGGCTGTTTTGAAGGTTTGATTATAGGTGAATTATCCATATATCCACCATCCATCAGGAGCAATGGAAATATAGCCTGCACTGTAGCCAAGGAAGCTGGCTAGAACAAATGGAGCATGCCCTGAAGCAAATCGCTGAATGATGGAGCATCAGTCTACAGCAAAATTCAGGCATCACTTTTAGCTCAAGACAGACAAAATGTAGTACTTACTGATGTGTAACTTGTTTCCATCTGCAATCATTTGCATGTTGGGTGCATCGAGTTAATTGGTTCAGTTTACAGAATTAACAGGTCATCCTTCCTTCAAGACCATTTCAGGTTCATATGATTTTAGAGCCCTGCAGGTAAGTTCAAAACATGATATGGACAAACAACTAGTTACACTGTGTGAGGAGTATGAGAGGGTTCTCAAAAAGAAATAAGTAAAGCAGCTTAATTCTGAAAGCATGAAAAGTTCCACCAGCTAAAATTAGTGTGAAGATGGGCTATCAGGTAACACCATCGCATGTTCCCAGATTTGACTTTGCAAGGTTTGGCATCTAAACTCCTGGCAAGGTGAAGGGCAGACGATGATGATCTGTTACCAGGAGAGAGATTCTAGCAGAGCTGCTCCTGGCAGTGAAGCCAGTTGGAGGCTGATCAAGTTGACTGGTCAGCGCTGCTGCTTTGCAAAACTTAGGATTGCTAAATGCAATTTTGAGTCTGTGCTGTGAGCATTCCCACCTCTGGTGTGGAAGAGCTAACTTCCGACTGTATCCCCGCTTGTTCCTCGTGCGGGATGGGCTGTGCTCAAGGTGCGAGGTCTGGTCTGACCCGTGTCCTGGAGCACGGAAAGCGCTGCACTGTGAGCAGGGAGAAGGAATGCGGAGTTTATTGATTTGGGTGGTGGGTTTGCGTTGGGTGTTTGTGAGCAGCTCGATTCCCGTTTTGCTCGAAGGTTGGACTGAGAGTGTCGGGGAAGCAACAGGAGAGCCAGGGCCTGTGGTGAAGCAGAGCAAAAAGGCAAAGGCAGGACAGCAGGGCAGGCGGCCTGTACAGTCCTCTGCAATGATCTGGGCAGCTTCCCGGTCCCTCTTATCAATTAAATTCCCCAGAAGTTCCATAACATCTCCAGCAAATGGCTTCGTCCTGAGGAAAGCGGCTTGCTCCTGGGGCTGGCCCGGAGCAGCCTTTTGCCTGCCTGCAGATGGGAGCTGCCCCAGGTTTGTCCAGTGACCTGCCACCCGCTGGGCCTGGGCTTTTCATCTCCTCTTTTCCAGCTGTGGTTTTTCTTCCCTGCCTCCCCGAGTTTGGGCTTTGCTTTTTTTCAGCTT